ACTCATAAAGCGTCCTTTGTGCTTGACATCGGGTCAAGACTACCTAAAATGGCCGCACATCCAGGTGAGACATCAATAATGTGTGTATTAGGTTAGGTCATTTCCTCATGGAGGGGCCCAAGTTTACTTTTATCGGGGTTAATTTGTGTATCCTGTGAGCACGCACCCACAGCATCAACAAACACACATTGCCGCATGCACACCCCATATTATCTGCACCAGCGTGCACCATCCATAAAATGAGTTGCTGCCTACGTCACCAAGACACCCTCCCCTTACGCCTCATGCAGCAGGGTGCACCCATCAATGGCGGGTTAAAGACAGAGGGAACGGGAACTAGAGAGGACACCTGCACTAACATCTGTTCTCAGGATACACTGCCCTCCACCCCAACATCCAACGGCCAACAGTCAACAGTCAACTGCCAACAGCCAACAGCTGACCTGCAGCATGTTGATCACATTCACATTGCTGGTAAATGCATTTTTCCAGACTGTCTATGGCGTCATCTTCGGCTTCCCCGACTCGGAAGAATGCAATCAGCCTGCCCAATCCTAGGCACATGACCTAGCTGCTCCAAACTGGTAGGACATTAAAATCTGACGATTAACTAGACTAAGCATCTAAAAAACTAACCATAACAATAATATCTTGTCCGTCAATTCCGACAATGACAAATAGATCTAATATCTAGTTTCTAGATCTAGATCTAGAACTAGATATTCTACATCCGCAAAAGAGAATTTCTCCAACGAAATAAATCTAAGATCTAATCTAGATTATAGATCTGGAACTAATGTAGATGTAGATCTAGATGTGGATCTAGATGTAGACTTAGATCTAGATAGTAGGTTCTAGATCTAGATCTAGATCTAATCTAGATTCTAGATAAAGATCTAGAATCTAGTAGATAAGTTAGAAGAATTAAAAGTAATATGAATTGTGGCGCCTGTTGTGGTCGATGAGACCAATTCTGGCAGAGAAAAGTCTGCCTCACGTTGAACATTTAGAAACTTCACTTCCACTTGTGGATGTGTTGAGTTTGCGGGATTCTCTCTTGATTTTGATTCAGCATTTCTTATTTATGAAGTCTCAAATGATTTGCTGTCAACTGTGACTGCTGCTCTCCAGCTTGGTCTGTCAGGAGGTAGGCTGTAAAATCAGACATCATTAGGTATTGGTAAGTTCTTCGATCTGACTTGCATCTAGTTCGGTAACGTTCGTTAATTACTCCCACTCCCACCCACCCAACCTCCGTGTTCCTCAGGTAAACATTGACTCCTAACGCCCTTCGTGTACAACAACACGTCTGACGTACGCAACTACCTCTACTCATGAGTGAAGCAACTCCCACGTGTCCCACTGGACTGCTCATCCGTACTTTTCCTTCACACCATCCTCTGGACCTGCCACAGTTGACCCCTTGACCAGCCAGGCACCACCCCCATCCCTCCAACTGTTTTCTCACAATCAACTCCGCCCATCGCAATGCTCATCACAGCCACCATCGCGGTGGTCCTTCTGATGAGTGGAGCGAAGTACCTGCTCTTCGGCCCTGACGAGTTCCTGGAGGAGCCACCACAGCCCACCCAACAGCCCACCCAACAGCCACCGGTTGTTCAGCCAAAGGAGCCGGCTGCACTAAAAGACCCCTGCTTCGAGATTGAATTGGACGATGACTAGTGCTTGTCAGTTCAAAGTCGTTGCCCGCTGAAGACTCTTCGCCCAAGTTGTACTCACAACATGCTAACCATCTCCATCATACTCAACGACAGCCAGCTGTACGATGCTGCCCCCCACCCCCACCCCAACCTCCCGGCTTGGATGATCTAGGGATACGGCACTCTTTCAGGTGAACATTACTAAGGTGAACGTTCTAAGGGGTGAACTTTCCTAGAGTGAATATTCCCTGATGTGACCATTCCTGGGGTGAACTTTTCCGAGGCGAATTCCTGAAAGCAAAAATATTCCTGGGGGCTGAAGATTTCCGTCAGTGAACCTAACCATTCTTCTTCTGCGCCATGTCCCAGAGCACGTGCCCAGACAGGTCACCGGATCTGGCCGCCGAGTCACGTGACTGGCAGGCCTGGCAGGCGGGTCATGTGGCGCAGGAGCAGCAGTGTTGTCGTCAGATACTCAACCAGCACTACAACACCGGTGAGTAGATGGATGAGGGGGCCCACGTGCGTAAGTGTGTGTGTGTGTGTGTGTGTGTGTGTGTGTGTGTGTGTGTGTGTGTGTGTGTGTGTGTG